GGTGGGGTAGGATCATTCTCGGCTGCTTCCTCTCTAGCCCCTCGCCCTTCTCAATCCCAAATCCCTGGTGTAATACCCTCCTCGCTCCTCTCCTCCCACAGCAGATATTAATTGTAATCAAACGTCAAAGGGATAGTGGTTTAATTGCAATCAAATAGGCCTCAGATGAGGCATCAGCTGCTAACTGCCCTATTTCAGGGAAGGGTATACCCTTACAGGTATAAATGGATTACCAGGTTTGAAAGCACTTCTTCCCGTGCAGATTCGAGGCAGAACAAAAGAAAGGGATGTCTGAGCGGGGAGACCTACTGGTTTAATGTGGCTGTGTGTGTGTGTGTGTGTGTGTGTGTGTGTGTGTGTGAGAGAGAGAGAGAGAGAGAGAGAGAGAGACAGAGAGAGAGACAGAGAGAGAGAATTAATCCCCATTTCCCAATGCAGGGAATGCTCTGGCTTTTGGTGATTTTCAAAGCAATAAAGAAATTAGAGAGAAGACAGTAGGCTATGGAAAAAGATCTCCCCTTGCCAGCAAAAAAAGATTTCCAAGAAACCATGCCTATAGACCCTTTACTATATGAGTTTTAGACTTCATATAAAGGAGACTGGATTTCGACTCTCCAGCGTCTGTATTTGGGGACTAAAGAGGCAGGCAAGGCTCCAGGTGTGTTTCTGGCTCTATTTTCAAAATGGATGAGCTGTAGAGATGAGTTTGGGCGATTCTCATAAAGAGAGATTCTGGGGGTTCTGACAAAAGAGAAACAAGGCTTTCCACCCCACTCCAATCTTAACATGTTCTGGGAGCTGCTGAAAGAGCCTTTGGCTCTTCCAAAGTCGAGTTCCAAAGCTCAGGGCTCTCACAAAACTGAAGGAGCAGAAGCAGCTCATCCTCTTGGCCCAGGCAGACTGTGGGCAGCCAGGTGGTCGGGGGGCAGGGGTCTGTAGAAGGGGACAGCAGGCAGGTTCATCTACCCCATTATTGGCAGGCTGGGTGATTGATGCTAAACTCCATTTCACAGAAGCATTTTTAAAAAATTAAATCAGATCTGACAATGTTTGTACCACAGCGTAACTGCCTCCTCCTTGGCGTGCCAGTCACCTCTAAGCGATCTGACAAACTCCAGCTCTCTTAAAACGTGCAGAGTTCAGATCATATTAATTCCCCAAAAATGTTTTGATTCAAAGTAGTTTGTATTTTGTGTAGCCACGGGCAATCCAGAAAGCGCTCCTGCCTGCCCGTGGCCTGGTCCGCTCCCTCTCCGCGTGGCCCAGAGGCTATGGCGGTATTTAAGCGTCTGAAATTAGCCTGGGGCTGCAAGGCAGAGTGATCACAAAGCGAAACAAGGGCGCTTCCCCCTCTTCACTTTTTTTCATTTTTTTCTTTCTTCTTTTTTTTTTTTTTTGAGTTTGCCATCCTGATTTCTCAAAAAAGACCAGGGCCAAAATGTCACTTTCCGCCCAAATATGGGAAAGCTGGGTCTTCTCATCTCCCCTCCATCCTCTTCTCAAGGCCATAGCCCCCTACCCAATTGAACCCCTAACCCCTCGATTCCAATCTGTATCCACTCATTATTAGCATCATCATCATAGTCGTCGTCATCATCAACATTGTTCTCCTACTATTAAATTCTCAGAACAAGAAATGAAAGGGACCAGCACCTGACAAAGGGGAGGGGGCCATGAGGGAGCCTCAGAAGATTCTTGGGGAAAAGAAGAGTGGGCTTTCCTTTCTTTTTAATGATTAAAAACACAGACGACTCCTGTAAATAGAAGCCTCATTTCTTCAAGATGCCTTTTGAAACCCAGTATCTGAATATTCAACGAAGGCAAAGCCCCACTCTGTACGTACAACATTAATATGATCTCTGCAGAATTTGCTACTCAGAAATATTAACATATCAAAGCCCATGCCGGAGGCGAGAGAAGCTATCGATACTCAAGTACAGGGTAAAGTAAAGATTATTGGTTCTGATGGTTGGAGTAGCGGAGCTGCACAAAATCGCGCACACCATTAAGCGAGAGTGAGCGTGCGGGAGCGGCACCTCCGAGGCGGTGGCAAATATTTTATCTAGGTGGTATTACCTCGTTGATGCCCTTCCGGGCTTTCTTTGGCTATCCGGCCTTCATTATAGGCAAAAACAATGTAACGACCACTTACTGAAGTGAGTCAGAGAAATGGTATTTTGGTCTTTGCTAATAGAAGTGGCCAAATTTAAAGAACTGAGTGCTCTTACGTCCTCCAACACACACACACACACACACACACACACACACACACACATAAACCAACCCCCTCCTCCTCCCCCAGCGTGCCGTGCGCGCAGTGCGCGCAGCGCAGCGCAAACCCGGTGAACTCATGTGGGGCACTTAGAGATCTTTCTTCTAGAAGAGCACTTAGGAGTCTTTGGAAATGAAATCTGTTTTGTTCCTCCCACAGTAAATGAAATTGTCAGAAATGTAAGTTTATCAGAGAACTTAGCAGGGGAGGAAAAATGGCAAAAAGTTGTGCTTTTCAAGAAATCATGTTTCCTGTGGAGAGTCACCTCGAAAGTATGGATTAAAAGAGAAACAGGCATTCCTATCTAAACAAAACCATTACAGAATATGGCAGAGTGCTTGACTTAGTGTCCTCCTGATTTTTGATGAACAAAGGTGACTTGAGTTGTTTATATTAAGAATCCAATGCACTACCATGACAACAGAGAGAAGGGGCTTCCTTAACTTTTCTTCAAAAATGGGGAGTCCTGAGATTTAGGGCTGTGTGGGATCCAGCACGATGTACACAACCTTTAGGCAAAACTTCCTTGTTATCCATTTGTAAATTGTCATGAACATTGATTGTTTCAGAGTAACACACGCACACAGACACACACTTGGTCTCCTGGGCTCAACCAATTTAACTGGCTTTTCTCTTAAACATGTGGAAATGGAATAAACTCAGCAGCTAAATTCTGAATTCCTTCGCAGGGGTTGAGGGAGGGAGGACTAGGGTTTAGTCACACAATACAGACAGAAACCCCAAGTTACCTCCCCTTCCTCTTTGAAGCCATGCTATTCTCCTAAAAGATCAATATTTGATTTAAAATAGCAGCCTCCACCTGATTTTCAGGTGATACGGAGTGACACCAAATTCTACAACAATAAAACATCACCTAAGGAAGACCATTTATGTGCCTGTATAGGACCGGACCGCAGTTCTCATTTTATAGTTACCCAAGAGCGTTGACCTTTCTTTGGGGCATGCTGCGGAGGTGTCCCTTAAATCTCTCTCCAAAAATTCAACTAATTACACAGCCACCTCCCTTCCAGCTCCCGCCCTCGATCTCAAATAATTCCCGCCCTCTGGCAGCTATTGTAAGATCTGATGCAATTTCCAGGCATTTGAGAAGGTGATCTTGGAACAAGTGCGGAACTGAACGCGTCGACCGCAGTAGCGCCAGCCGGACTCTGGGAGGAGCCGGCTCTGGGCGCTAATTAGTGGCGCTGTCCTTCAGCACCACCGACATCTCCATGCGCCCTCAGTGTTCAGCCTCACCTTTAGTGTGACCGCCCCAACAGACCCAGATCAGCACACCTCACCTGACCCCTCTTTCATCGTGCATTTTTAATCCCTCCCTTCAACAGTATGTGTATTTCATTTCAATTTTCTCTAGTCTGGGCCTATTTCATGTCACTTCAATATGGCTGAATATTAGCCTGGCTGATAAGCATAATATTGCTCATTTTAAGAACTCCTCATCGAGCAACACTAGTAATTTTTTGAAAAACCTCTATGGGGTGAAACAACAGAGTTGAATGGCTATTTTGCATTTAATGGAAGTTCCAAGTACCCACTATGACAATCGTCAAGTTCCAAAAAAAAAGCAATCTTTCTTCCTCAATTTAAATGGAATTTCACATTGGACATTGGGTTCTAAAGCCTGACGTTTAAACACGAAAGAATCCATTGCTTTCTTTGGAAAAGCACTGGAATCTTTCAACAAGCTTTGAAAGAGATGGACAGGGACTGAAGGACATTTATTTGGTGCCATCAGAAGTGACTCAGTCTTTAGCAGTTCAGTTACTAAAGACAACTGTGACCCTGGAGCTGGAATTAGTCCTGGTGAATAGGCCACATCTTATTAATTCGTATGAAGTTGGGATAACAGCTGGTCCCCTTGCCTTGTGTGCTCCTCGGGTTACTCAGCTTGCTGGGAAAATGAGCTTCAGAGGCTCTGGGTACAGTTAAGTGGGGAGGCCAGCAAAATCTGCACTGCCTTGAGGCCCTTAAAATGCCATAGTTCAAAACCTTTTGTCAGAATGGAACATCTGAGAAGCAGCCCCCTTCAGTGTCTGAGCCAAAATCAACAGCTCTCAACTCTGGCCTTCCCCCCCCCCTCCACCTTCCGATTCCATGGGTAACTCTGGATTCAGATGTTTTCCTCAACAGATGGGAACAAGAAAGCTTTATCCGGTACAGTTAACACCACCTCCTCCTCCCACCTCCCTTAAAGAAAGAAATGTTCTGGACACTTAGAAAAATAAGGGCAGCTACAATATTGGTGTTTCATTAGCCTTCCCTGAAGCCTCAACGAATCTAGCCTTTCACAGTATCCTTCAAAGCCTCAAGCTAACACCATCACCTCAATCACCCAGGCGGTGGCTGGCACATTTGGGGCTAAAAGAGACCAGAAATTCTGCTTGAGGATGTGGTGATGGGGAAAGGAGGTGTGACAAGGATTTTTTCCCTTTCTTTTCTTTTTTTTCTTTTTTCCCCCTTCTAACTTTGATTCTGTCATTGTTCCATGAGAAACAGCAAATCTCTTCTTTTGTAGGTCTTTTGGGAAGAGGCTAGATCCAAGCCTCAATGGAGAAAGGGACTATGCCTGTGTTGGACAAAAGTAATTGACCAAGAGTAATTGTTTTCTTAATCATCAGACAAGTGTCTGATGGTTACAAGCACCACCAGATCTTCAAAACAAAGTATCAGATGAGAGAAGAATATTTCATTTTAACATGTCACTTACCTCTTCTTATCACTCCACCTTGACCATTGAGAACAAGCCCACACTGGGCTTCCACGGAGCCCTTAATAAAAGAAAAAGAAATAAAAGCACTCAAATAGATACTAATAGGTGTGAACACATGAGTTAAGTCTTTCAATCTGCCCCATTCCTTGAACCCCCATATCCCAATAACCCTGTAGTAGACATTTAAAAGCAACCATTGAGCTGGAGCAAGTTTGGCAGCACACGTGATTTCAAGGGGGAAAAAAGTGCCAGAAAAACCACAATCTAAAAGTTGTATAAATCTTAAGGTATGCATTTTGCAGCACCATACAATATTGCACTTCAAAGCACCTGAGTGCCTTTCATCTTGGCATAAGGGAATGAGAAGCCCTTTGAGTCCCCATCAAGGCACATAGCATATATACAGACAGTTTCCACGGCACTTTCTGCGTGGAGCAAATTACACTGAAAGTGTCAAGTCTGGCACTGTGGGTTTCTTGGGAGCTCAGAGGAGCCATTTCAAGTGCAGGCTTCAAGATATCTGATGTTGGTTCTGCTTTACCACAGAGTAGGAGTATCCTATCCAAAATATGCCTTAGAGAGGAAACACCTTCAGGTTCACTCACTGTAGGTCTTCAGGCTCCTAATGGATTGAGGGATCATTTGAGCTGGGAAGAAGGAAAGGGTTTGCTGATTTTTTATTAAGAAAAATAAAAAATTTCTCTCTCTGTCTTTTTTCTCCTGAGTTGAAATGTGTTAAAGGCTCATTTTCCTTTACAAACAAACGAGGTATTGGACATGAAAGAGGCCTTGAAGGGTGTTAACCTACCCAACAGCCCGTGAAGAGTTAAGTAAATGCGGAGAGAGTCGGTGCATAATAAAAACCCACTTTACAAAACAACCTTTACAGCCCTGGCTCCCTTTCGCTTCCCCATTTTCACCATATTGAGGCAGGCCTGTAAGACCCCCCTTTTCAACCTACTCACGAGCTCTTTCTTATTTTAAATGTTCTGCCTTAAAGTGATTATCAAATCAATATGAAAAAAAAAAACTTGGAGACTGAGCATAAATTAAAGCAGTGATGGGAAAAGGTGTGACAGTTTCCTTTGTTGGCCATAGCAAATCTTTTTAGGGGACTCAAAGATGGAACTGAAGCCACAAGACTGTTTGCATCTGTTAGGCAGACTTAGACCGCCCTCCAAACCATTGGACTTTCACTTAAAATTCTGTGCAGGGAAAAGTATATTTACATTTGTTGCATTTGAAATGAGGCATATGCTGATGAATGTTTTAAAAAGGAAGAAATAAAAGGAGAGAGACGGGTTTCTCCCACACATCCCCTCCCTATTTCTCTTTTTAAAAGTAGCTATTACTTTTTTTCTCTTTCTTTTTCATTCTGCCAACTACGTCCAGGAGGAGTGGAAGAAAATAACTTGCCAGATTTACAACTTGCTTCATATATATATATATATATATATATATATATATATATATATGGCATGTATCTACATACATAACAATGATATATACATATATAGATGTGTCTATAGACATAGATACATAAATATGTCATATATCATACTCCTCAAATTCTTTTAGTATCTTGGAGTATATCCCTCAGTATGAGCAATAAACTGAAAAGAGGAAACCAAGAATATAAAAAAAATACAGACTTTTAAAAAGGTCTTGAAATATCTGAAATGTAGAAGGTAAAGGGCCTTGAAGCTCTCCAAGGGAGTGAACCGCTTTCTCTCCCATTCTCTGGCACACTGTTAAGATGTTTATTTCCTTAGAAGAAACGAATCTTGGTCTCTACACTTAACAAACTTTTCCCCCTCATAAGTAAAACATGTTGTTTGGTCGGATGACATTGCATAAATGACCAGTTGAATGGCACTAAGTCGAAAATTGGATAAACTACGGTGTTCTTTTGCACGGGATTCGCTCTTTGTCTGGTGCTTGCAAATGTTCTAATCCCCTCTTTTGAAAAATGCCCGGCTTTGTGCCTAGCACAGAAAAAAAATTTGTACAGATACAAAAAAATCAGCAGCAGACGCGGCTATTAAAAGGAGTAAATAGGTTTTAGTTGAGCTAAGCATTGAATGGCAGATTTTTTTCCCCTCGAGACATAAGGGGGTCCTTGTGAAAAATGTAAAAATGTTCTGAGTGTATAAAATTATTTTGTGTATACAAGTGGAGAAAGTCAAGGTTTATGGAGCCAAATCTCTTTTCTTGTGTGCCGATCTTGCACCTATGGTTCTTTGTTGGGACTGTAAGGGCTTTCACTTTAATTTCAAAATAATCCCTTGGTCGGAGGTAAATGAAGGGAAAAGATTTTCTGTGCGCAACAAGGGATCTCTTACGTCTCCAACTTGTGCTCTTCCCGTATCTTCCCTTTCGTTGTGGAGGCTGTGGAGAAGCTGGCCCCCTTTGTGCGGACTGAAAAAGTAGGGACTCATCTATAGACGGCTCCTCTTTCAGCCAAAAGAAGATACAAATTCATGTCTTCTAAGTTCTTTTTTAGATATTTGTGGGTTTATTTGCTTGAAATATGGCTGGGGGCATATGTCTGCAAAATTATAAATTCTATTGTTGGCAAAGAATGTGCAAAAATACATTGAGGAAGAAAGTAGGAGACAGATACATCTGATTGATGGCCTCCACAGTATCTGTATTCCTCCCTCCCTCCCTCCCTCCCTTCCTCCCTTCGGTCCTTCTTTCCTCTCTCTTTTTTCCTCTTTCTTTCTTCCCTCCTGTTTCTCCTTTCCTCCCCCCCCCCC